GCGGTGGCCCTAGCGCCTAGGCGGGGATTTTTAGAAGAGCAGTGTCAAATAGGCAGCTTGGACTTGGAATACTCTGTCTAAAGTTAGCGTGTAAAGAAGCTCTGTATATGGTCTTGTTCTTAAGTTATGCATGTTTATTGTTGGATTGTGAGTTAGTATTAGTAACACCTTAGTAAGAGTAAGGCGTTTCTCCATTTAAGCCTGCCCACTCAGATTTGGCCGGTTATCTGCTTTCTTTTGCGGTAATAATTTGTCACTGCGTGATAGTATTTAATCGTATGATCTACTTCCTACTGTATAATCATTAATCAGTTATGAGCACTGCGTGATGGTATTTAATCGTCTGATCTACTTCCTACTGTATAATCAGTTATGAGCGAATTTCATTGTTTTGACTAGTATTGCATTGACAATAAAATTGAACATGTTTGGTACATGTGGAAGGCGTATCTACCTTCTATTTGATAAAAAATCCACTTGCTTTAATTCTTAGCTTTTACTTGTATTTCCTCATTTATCGATTGTTTGTGTCAATTACAGATGATGAAAATTTATGTACTGTATAATATTTGATGATTTGGTGCCCATGCAGGAGGAGTTTGATGAACATGCTGAGAAAGCGAAGACCCTTCCTGAGTCAACAACCAATGAGAACAAGCTTATCCTCTATGGGCTGTACAAGCAAGCCACTGTTGGAGCTGTGAACACTAGTTAGTATAATGATCCCTGAAAAATACGAGAACGCACTATTTTGTTCTCTCGTTGCAACACAAATTTTCCATTTATGAGATTGTCAACCATCCTCTAAATTTTCCCTTCGCGTTTGTTTCTTTGTGGCTGACTTGCAGGCCGCCCAGGAATGTTCAATATGAGGGACAGAGCAAAGTGGGATGCATGGAAGGCTGTTGAAGGTGATACTTCTGAGCATAATGTTTTATATTATTATTATATGTCAATCTTCTTCGTATGCTCTTGCATAATTGATACTTCTGAGCATATCGTTTATTATTATCATATGTCAATCTTCTTCGTATACTCTAGCATAATTCTAAGGTATAATTTTCGTTCTGGCAGGGAAATCCAAGGAGGAAGCCATGGGCGACTACATTACAAAGGTGAAACAGCTGCTGGAAGAAGCAGGAGCTTCTACTTGATGTTTTCGTATGGTGTTATTTGATTCAAAATAAACTTGTACACTTACGTATTGGTACTCTGTTATATCTAAATGTGTGCGAATGTAACATCCATGGGATACTTTCGGTAGAATGGTTGTACTTTTAGTTGTTTAATTGGAGGGGTTTGCACTGTTAGTGAATTTGAGTTTGCCAATTTGCTTTTACCTTGACCATTAGTAATGCTTCTAAGTATGCTTAGTTGTGTAACAGACTAGCTTTTGGACTCGTGATATTTTTCCTTCCCAATTTTGGAAGAGAGAGGTTTTAATCTGTGCTACGCATTGATTAAATATACTTTCTCATCCCAATTTAGGAAGAGATAAGTTCGAATCTTCACTCTGTATTGATTAAACAGAAGTTTAGTTTTTTAGATTGTTTACACTTGATTACATAAACCTGCACATCCATCAAAATGTTGGTGATAATACAGGATGAACGCTGCTCAGCTCTTTTCTTGTAACGAGTCATTCCTTTCCGTTTATATTTTTTATATAAATCACAGCTTGATGTGTATAAATTGCACAAATGAATTGTTTCGGATAAGGAGAAATGAAAGGGTTCATTTTCCTCAACTTTTTCCATGGACATGGACATGGTAGAAAAAAGTGAAGTTGTAGACCATGATTAGTAATTGCTACGCACCTACCAATAAGATTACAGAGTTTGAAAAGGAAGAAGGTGGTTGACTAATGACTACTCGATTCCCAAAGAAAAAAAATATGATCGACGGGTCAACATCTATCCAACTGATACATAACTGGTTCGAAATTGACGAAACTTGGGAAAGAGTAGTAGCCGGTAAACTAAATAATGTTTGGCTACTTCGAGATGATTTAGAATTCCTTCTTCAAACACTTTGTGCCCGATTCCCAAAATTGTCTTTAAGATTCGAACTGGTAGTGTGCATCATTTGGCAAATAGTATCCTTGTCAAAAAAATTAATTTAAACAAATGTCGATTAGCCAATTCTCTCCAATACATCATAAAAGTTGGAATCCTATGACTTTGGAGTCAAGCATAAAAGTTTTGCATATTGGTTATGTATTGACTCTAAGGCCTCGTTTGGCAGCTCGGACTGTACTGACTATTTCTGTCGGATAGGATAAATAACCACCGGATAGTACTGACTAAATTAGTCGGACGTTTGGTGCAGTATCGGACAAATGACCGTATTATTTATACTATGTTTGGTAATGAACCAGATAGGACAAGGGAAAAAAAAAATTGATGAAACTTTCTTTGTTTGTTGAACTTTTCTCATATTTATATCTATTGAAAACCACACAAATTTTCAAATAACAAAGAAAAATAGTAAATTCCATACATCAAATTCAAAATATTTTCCAATAACATAAAATGGGCTTATATCTATTTAGCCCCAAAACTAAACTATATGTCCATCTAAATTATCACTTGGTCATAACTCTACCTTTTTTTTTCTGGGGCAGGGTGGAATAAAAACCCAACCAGTTTTTTTTATCCAAATAAAAGCTTAATTAAAGTGGGAAAAGCAAAATTCAGCAGTCTAACTGTCTATGTTTAGCAAAACTAGTGAAATATCATAACTTGATCTGCCAACCATTTAGCCCAAATCAAATTAAACTGAGATCCCATATGATACCAAGAGATGCTACCAATGAAATTTCCAGATGATAGAAAATCTAGGAAATTGGGTCAGCCACAAAACCAAAATGCTCTGTTTGGTTGCTCAGAAAATAAGCAAAAGAAAGTAGAACATAGTCATAAGAAACAAAAACCCATTTAGCCAAATGCAAGTGTATGGGACCAAGGTAGAGTTATTTCCATTTTTCTTTCCTTTTATTCAAATCAAACAATTGTATGAGAAGCATAGAAGTCTGAGAGGGCCATGTCAATGCAGCTCATCCCCACCTTCCCAAACAAGGAATCAAAGTCAAGGATGACCCCCACATTCACTGGGATCGTTGTGTTTTGTGCCATGGCTAAGAAAATCCTAAAGAATAACAAGAAGAAGAAGATAGAAGAGACAGGGAAACTGGTAATCTTGGTCATGTTTGAATATCTTGGATGTTTTGCAATTCACGGCATGAGACTACGTAGATACTAACTTATATGATGATTATGGACGATGGGATTTGGAAAATTGGAAGAAACCTTGCTTGAATAGCTTGAGAGCTTCAAGTTAAGAAAATTTGATGTTTTGCAAACAATGACAATAATGTTCAAGAAAATCCAACTGAAAACCGCCAAAATATAGAAATATATTCAGGGGTGTAGCTACAAATACCCCGAGATTGCTGTATGATCTGCTATAAAAAGATGGAAAATTCGAAGAAACCTTGCTTGAATAGCTTGGGAGCTTCATGTTAAGAAGACGAACCTGGACTTTAGCCGAGAGAGCAAGCGCGAGAGGCAGAGAGAGGGTCCGGCAAATCTACAATTCGACCCCAACAACAAACCCTAAAATTCGAAATTTGTAATTAAAACACAAAATTACATAATCAATTGCATAATTACAGAGAAAACAATAACTAGATTTATCAATTGAAAGAAAAGTGCAAGAAAAATGGAAGAAGGGGGAAGAACAGAGAGACGGGCGCAACCTGGGAAGAAGAAGAAAACTGGTGGGATTCAAACGAAAAAGAAGACGAAGACGAACCTGGACTTCAGCCTAGAGATCAAGCGCGAGAGGATAGCGTCTGGAGAGGACCACGACCGAGCACGAGAGGACACTGCTTCTGGACAGTGCGTCTGGAGAGGAATGAGACAGCGAGAGGCGCTCCGACTAAATTGTACCAAGGTTTTGGACGGTATAAGCAGTCGGGTATCAAGCGTATTAAGTAGGTGGGCCCGGATTATTTAATCCGGTGACTATCTAATACGAACGGACACCAAACACTGTATTCCGTATTATTAGTCCTATCCGTTGTCCTATCCGATGTACCAAACACGGCCTATCCGTTGTCCTATTCCGTATTATTAGTCCTATCCGTTGTCCTATCCGAGTCATACGATTGCATTTGACTACAAGGGTTATATTTGATTCCTTTTTTATGTGCATTGGGATGATATAACATTAAAGTTAAATTTGATTTCAAAATTAACTTCATAACTTTTAATTATTGGATTGGAGATGGCTTAATACAAAGTTTAATAAGTATCTAGAATCATCAATCTATAAATGGATGTTAGTAGTTGGGTTTCATGCTAGTGGAAGTGGTGGTGGCATCAAGGGCAGATGTATAATGGAACCAAAGGTGGGTCCTAGGACCACCAGAGTTCGGGAAACACGCATGTGAAAGTCCTCTGGAGACCCTTCGAATGTTTGCTATAATCCCTTTTGTGCCCACAAAGTACTTGATTTAATGTTTGTTAGGCATATCTCAGTAAGTTGCGTTGACAACACTCGACAAAAGCTCTCGATAGTACTCATCAGATTGTCGATATCTGTTGACATGCAACATGGTCCGGCTGACAAAAATAAACCTTTGTGAATAAATTGAATTTGTTTTTTTAACGCTTCACGCTCTGTTTCTATCTAAAAAACTTGGACCTTTAACACTAAGACCCCCCAAAGTTCAAATTCTAGATCCGCCACTAAGTCACGATGGTCATGATGGCAACGATAGTGATGACAATGACGGTTGTTGGATGGTGATGGCTGCAGCAGTAGCAATGATAATGGTGGTGCTCATTGTTAGGTGGTGATGAAGACGACAACAGTGGCAGTCATTGCCTTGCCCATGCGATGGTGATGGCGGAGATGATGGTGGCAGGATTTGTGGCAATGGTAATGGTGGTAGCGGCACATCCGCGGTGGGCGTGTAAGAAGAATAATGGTGATGGTGGCATAGTGTTCAATATTTTTTCCTATGCTTATGGTGCAAACAAAGAAATTGTTGTATGATTTAATATTATATGTCCAAATTCTATATATTTCTTCATCTTCATCGCAATGAAGAGTTATAATCTTAAAATCCCAATTGAAAACACCGCTCTAATTACCTTTAATACGACTTTCTGATTTTGTTTTGACTGTTGTGATGAGTTATTGAAGGCCAAGAAAAAACACAAAAAGAAACAAAAGAAAAAGAGAATAAAAATGGAGAAGATATGCAAGTCGAGAGACCTACTAAACAAACGGATATCTAGAGATTTAGTATTCCCTTACACGAGAAGCGCCGTCTCTAGCCAGAATACCTTCAAGATCTCCGATGATTCTGGCCAACCATATCTCCAAATTTCTTTGGATTTCTTTCAAGTTGTTTCTAATGGAATCTGAACACCGTCGTGTGTTGTGTTTGGGCTGGTTCCCCAGCTCATCTCCATAAGAACTCTTCCCAATCTCCGTTTATACTGCCATCAACTTCTGTCCAGTTTCTGTCGCACGTTGTTGAAGTCTAAATGATTCGAGTAAAAATTCTGTTTGTCGTTGCGTACGAAACTCTGGACTGAGTGTAGGTTCGGAGGGATCACTGCCTTGCTGCAAAAACAAGAAAATTTAGTGAGCAACACGGCCCAATAGGGGGCGACTTCATCCCACATGTACACGGGGTGCAGCGATAACTAAGTGTACGACATCACCTAAGAGATGTCTTGGGGTCAGCTAATTGGTGTGCTTGAGGCATAGTCACAGCAATACAACTTTGTTAACTTCAAACTAACGAAGCAGTTGCTTCTCATTTATAAAGAACCTCCTGTTTCATTCCTTCTGCTCTCCTTTTTTTTCTTCAGTTGTACTATCTGTTGTTAATGGCGGATTTCAACTTTATTAGCGTTCCAATATAATCAGGATTATCAGAGGTGTCTTACTTTTGTTTTTCTTTCTGTTGTAGTACTTTCTTCTGTTAATACTTGGGCTCTCTACAACGTTTAACAGACGATAAAGTGGCATAACAAAAGTAAAACATGGAACATAAAACATTACCATTCTTCTGCACAGATCATCAATCTTCCCCGCAAGAGCTTGATACCTCTTGGCCTGCTTCCTCATCAATGAAGGTAACTTTGAAATATCATTCTTTCCAACAGTTTCCAAATTCAGTAATTCCAGTTCAAGTAATTTTAGCTTAGAGGATATTCTTGTCGACTCACCATCTAGCTTCCAAGGCGACTCCCTAGGAAAGAAAGACGTGTTGATATTTAAGTTGCTGCAGAATATTAACTAGAAGCCTTAGAAATGATCAGTAAGTAGGTTGGCCGATATATACCTTAGTACAAAATGCTTCATGTGAACGGTTCAAGGGATTCATATTGTACATCCTGCATAAGGAGGAGAACGGATTAAAACAAGTTCGAACCTTTCCAATTTGATAAATTCGGAGAAGAGAAAATACGCCAACATAACTCAATAAAAAACTCAAGCAGCAAAGCAGTGAAAAAAGACCACATTGAATTGCTTTTAATAGTTTCCAATTACATTTGACGTTTGATGGCTCAGATGGAAAGTATTAAAAAGCAATTAAGTTAAACTTCCATTTCAGAACACAAGAAGTCAGAACAAATAAACAAATTTGAGGAGACTTGATGGAAAAGAAAAAGACAAAATTTCTTCTCTTTTATTTCAGTTTTCCAAAAAAACTGGAACAGTTGATCAAATCATTGCAGAGAATATTGGTGTCCAACTTCATTACAGCGATAAGTGCCAAACAAAAGGGTAAACTTGAGATGCCAAGTTACACAGTTTTGGGATAACAATTCGCTTTCCAGATAGAACCAAACACATGCCTTGTAAATTGCAACTTGTTTGCTAGTGGTGATGAAGGAGACAACGCACCTCAGTATCTGGCAAAGGATTTGAAGATGATAATAATAATAATGGATTAAGATTTAGTCTTTTTTTTTTTTTTTTTTTTTTTGTTATGATCATCCAGATGCCAAATTGAAATGAAATCGAAGTTCCAATGTGTGAAAGTGATGGAGGCAAACCTGCCAGAGCTTGGAAGCACCAGCTACCAAGTGGGAGTTGAAGCCGAAGCCAACGACATTGTCATAGACAATGACTTCCTCCTTGCCTCGGTGCTGGTGGCGGTGACAGTGGTTGTCGCCGTCAACCTCAGCCTCAGGTCCTCCTCCGCTCCTGGTGGCCATGAAACCAATCATGTCGTCCCTCTCCTCAACCACCATCTCCAAATCATGAATCTTGGTTGTTCGTCTTAAGGAATATCCAGTGAGGACGTTCCCTGGCCAACGAGCACACAACTCACCAAGAGATTGGCGCTGGTTGATGTTGTTTGTCGGGCTTCTGCTTATTGGCGGGCTGTAAGAGAATGACAGAGTTAATTCTGAAAGGTGCCTTTGTGGGGCCTTAGGTATAGGCCTTGAGGCTCACAATCAAAATTAACTTTAAGTACCCAGGCATGCCACTGCCATCTTTAGCATGACAGATGTAAAACCGATGTTAAGTTTTATTGTATATATATGTCCGAGAGACCAAGTTGGTTATGAAAGGTGCATTTGTGGGGCCTTAAGTGTAGGCCTTGAGGTTTCCTGTCAAAACTAACCAAATACTTGAACATATATTGGTTGTTTCATTGTTGCAGAAGTATCACAACCGTTATACTTTAATCGCCCGAGCCCGCAAAGCAGAACGAATTCAGATAGGTGCCTTTGTTGGGCCTTAGGTATAGACCTTGAGGCTTCCTATCAGAGTTAATTCTATACCAAAGCGTTCTGTAGCAATCATGATATAACAGAAATAAAACTAGAGAATAAGCCAATTACTTTCGCCCCAAGTAACTTCGGACTTCTTGTTATCAAGGATTATCGTGGATGGGTTAAGTCCACATAGGGTTCTTTTTATGCCTTGAGACCAAGGACTTTTAATTGATCAATCTTGTCTGCTCGAATGGTTAGAACTTAGAAGTCTTTTAATCATAAACTGGCTAGAAATAACTTGGATGCAGATGGAAATATACATCATATTACTAGATATATGAATGAAAGACAAAAAACAAATGAGGTCGGGCAAGGTTTCACCTTGTCGGGAAGGCTGATCGTCTTGCAACTTCCTCTCTTTATGATTTACAAAGGGTTTGAATGCTAGAAAGGGAGATTGGAAGATGAGTTTACATGAGGGAATCGATACTACAGCAAGATTTAAACAGGGTAGCAGAGCTTTTACAAAGGCTTTCTGGTGAAGGTTGATCCCGAAAAGGATGAAGGCTTGGGGGCTGACTACAGCTTTGTGAAGGCAAATCTGGTTTAAGCAGAGTTTGTGTTTGTATTTGTTTGTTTGATTGAGTGTCCTTGTCTCTGATTTTTCTTCCTCCTTTTATAGACGATTTGGCTTGGCTGCCTGCAGTATTGATTTTGCCCGAATGCATTTGAAGGGCAATGACTCATCAACTTTTTACTTGTACTGCCATTGTAAAGTACTTTTGGGCTGATTAGCTGGCTGGTCTACGCCACTTGACCTCTAGGTAGGTGAGTAGGTGGTTTGAATGATTTGCACTTGGTCGGGAAATAAGCTTATTCTTTTTCTGGGCTTCTGCTGGGCCTTGGACTTTTCCTTCTTCTGAACCTTCTTTTGGGCTAACCCCTTTTTAACCCAAAGTTCAAGTTTTATCCCAAACACTGGCATTGGAATCGTCCTAGGTTTTCTCCACCTCCAGAATCTTGGCATGGAGGTGGGCGATTTCTTGGTGGGCGTTGTCGATCTGGTTGAGCATCCGTTTCTCCTCGGCTTGCTAAGCGTTGCGGTGGCTGGCGAAGATCTCGACGACCCTGGCATTGGCTTTGGAGTCCTCTTTTCGCCTGGAAGTCATGAAGCTCACTTGCTCTTCCGCCTGCCATAACAGCGCAGAGAGCTTACCCACTTGGCTCTGGAGCTCCTGGAAGTTGTCGGGAGCTAAAGCCAGGAAAACACCTAGGCTCAGGCCAAGGTAGGAGCAGAATAGCTTCTTCGTAGCATCATCATCATCATCTTCTTCTTCTAATTGCTGTTGTTGTAGTTTGTGCCCGTTTTCAGCCATAACTAGTGCATGTAGGCTATAGGAGAGAGATAGAGAGACAGAAAGAGCGCAAGATATTTTGTGTTGGGGTTTTGGGAAGTGAGTCGCTTTTTGGTGTGTGCGATGGACAAGGATTGTCTATCCTTCGGTTAGGGGTGGTTTCAAAAAAATGAAAACAAAAAAAAACCGAAAGCCAAACCAAACCAAAACCGAAAAAACCCAACCGAATTGAAAATATCGAACCGAACCGAATTCTTTTGGTTCGGTTCGGTTTTAATGATCTAGAAACCGAACCAACCCGAACCGAACCAAATTAATTAAATTAATTTTTTTATTTAATTATTTGTTTTGGGTATTATTTTCTAAACCCAATTTGTAAGTTAAAATGTGCTAAACCCAATGTGTTGCCAAACTTTAAGCTCAAAATATAAAAAAAAGGCCTATAAAAACTCTAAACCCTAACCTATTATTTCTCCCCCATATAAGGTTCCGGAACCAAACCTCCTCTTGAAGAACCTACTTCCATCTCCATAGCACTGTCTACTTCTGCCCTAGCTTTCTTTTCCAAATCTACTCTCATATAACATGTAACATAATCCATAAACATTTATTTCAGGTAGATTACTTGCGTAATTTGTTATGGAAAAGAATCCAACACACACTAAATAAATCCACCCACGCATTACTTTTACTAATCAAGTTGTCAACATGTAGTTACAAGCAAACAACCCTGATCTTTGAACAACATTATACAATTTAACTTTTCTAAGTCATTTGTACGATTTTTGTGTTATGAGGTTGTTAGTTTGGACTTTGGAAGACTTGATTGATGATTTTAGTTCAACTTTAAATGTTTATTTTCATTGTCTTTGATTCTAGTTAGAATGCTTATGTTATGATTGTGTTGGAAATGTTAAAATTTAAAATTTCAATGTTTTTCATTTTTTGAAAAAAAAAAACAAAAAACCGAAACCAGACCGAAACCGAACCGGAAAAACCAAACCGAAAAAAATAAAAAAAAATGAACCAAACCGAAATTTCGGTTTTGGCAAAAAATCGAACCGATTTGAACCGAACCCACCCCTACTTTCGGTGTCCTCCGTGCCCTCCTGTTTTGTGTAGTCACAATTAAGTCACGTTAATATTTTATATTGTTTTTTTATAGATATAATAAGACAAAAATAAATAGTAATATAAAATGTTGATGTGGCTTAACCGTGACTATACAAACAGAAGGGCACGAGGAGGGCACCGAAAGTGGAGGGCAGACAATCCTTGTCCGTGTGCGACTGTGGGTAACAGAGGACGATAGGGAAAAAACGGCTTTTGGGGGTTGTGATTGTGCGAGTTTGGGAAGGAAGAGAAGACACTCGCTTTTTGCTTTTGGCACTACGGTTGGAGTCTACCTCTACCAACTTTGATGGGTTCTTAACTGGTGTTATTGTACTCATTAAAATTAACAGGTCAAATAATCTGACCCATTGAGAAAAAGGAAAAATTTAAATTAACGGGCCGTGTCGTACATTGTTCTTTATTATTGTAACTATTGTCGTTAATGGTTATTTCTCATTCTTTGTCAACGTTACATCGCTGTAAAATATGTTTGTGAACATTTTAACTAAAAAGAATTCAAATTCTGGCACCAAATCTTTATTCTTCACAAAAACATAACTTGAATTGCTTCATTATTAGATTATATCCTGGCAAATTGATTAGGTACGTAGTTTGGCACATAATGAAAAAAATTAGGGTTCATATATTGTAATGTGTTAACCCTGTTCTTGTTTTTATTTTTTTATAATTAAACTAGATCAATGGTGAAAATATAAGAAATAACTAGGGACATAGAAAGATGACATTAGCTTACAATTAATTAAAAAAAAATGATTCAATACCTAAGGAACAAAACATCAACTTAATACTTACTTTAAAAGAATGAGAAATTAGGTTCTCATCCCTATTTTTTCTACTCCATTGATTAAGTCTTTATTCCTTTTCAATTTTTAATCAAGGTCCTTAAGTTTTATTAACCTCATCAATTATTTCAATAATAAAATATTTACATGTCAAGATAATTAAATTTATTTTTTTCAATTAAATTATATTTCTAAATATATTCATTTAGTGTTTAGAAACTTTACCTTTGGTATATTTATATTTATGGCTAAACTTTGTACCATATATTTCTATTTTTAGTTTGTACCCATTTTTAATTTGCAATCTTTTTTTTTAAATTATACCAATTTTCTTTTCAGTTTCAATTTGTATTCATATATTAATTTCTTTTTGTGCTCATATTTTTTAAACTTTTATTTGTAATCATGATTTTTTAAACTTTTATTTGTACCCGTAATGTATTTATAATGTACCCATTTTTATTTAAAAATGTATCACTTTGTTACATACCAAATGTACCAATTTTTTTTGTTTTGTAAGTATCATTCCTTTTATGTAAAATGTATCTATTTTTTAATGTAAAATCTATTTATTTTTTTAATCTAAGATATACCCGTTGTTTTTCTTTATATAAAACGTACCTCTTGTTTTATATATATATATATATCTATATATAAAATGTGCCCAATTTTTTGTACGTGCAA